ATGTTTGTGCTTACGCACTACCAAGGGGCCAAGCCCTCTTTTACTGGTTAGCCAGTTATTTTGCTGTGGACTACGGTCCAGTTCCCAACTTAGTGTCCCTTCTCCACATTTTTTTTAAATGTGGAAGAGCGAAACCCTTGTATCGGGTATTTTATGTATAAATATATTGTGAGGCTTTTCCAAGCGGGATGGGATAATTATTAATAATGTAAACCTGATACAAGTGGAATAGGGATGTTTTTATGTTCTAAACCTTTCTCGAGCCCTGTCTTCGTGATGTTCCTGTGTTCTAAACCTTTAGAAAGATTATTTGAAAAGATCAAAACGTATTTATTTATCGTGGTCACATATATTTAATATACAGGCTGTTGGTGTAAACACCGTTATCCTTGAAACCAGTGGTTTGGTTTCACTTATAGAACGAGTAAATTCAATGAATTTAAAAAAAACGTTATTTTCTTTTATAAATTTTAAAAAGTTTCTGCCCGACACCGTCTGTAAATTCATGGATACCCTATGCGCCCGAGTGACATAATCATTGTAAAGATAGTCCTAGCTACCTACACAACATTTCAATAAAAATACAATAGGTACACATAACCTGTGATGTAACTTTTCCTTCATACCTTCATCCTGGCTTAAGAGAGGCAAAAATTCAGGAATTAAGGAAAAATTGATTTTACTAAAAAAATGTTATTATTTTTCATTGAATTTACGTTCTATAAGTGAAACCAAACCACTGGTTTCAAGGATAACGGTGTTTACACTAACACTCTGTATAATAATATTCTATATAATGGGGGGCGGGGAGTGTTACACTGTGACGATCGATATTCGCATTTTTTTACATTTAAAAAATGTTAACCTTAGTCTAATATGGGGTGTTTCCTTTTCTTGCTTTTATCACCGCCTGCATACGACTATTAAGGGAACGGATCAGCTTTCTATGTCTTCTTGGGGTGTTTGTTCACATTCTTCTGTTAAGGCGGCTTCCAGTTGATCCAACGTTTTAAGAACTGGATTTCGTGCTCTAACCTTTCTTTTTATCTGGTCCCAGAGATGATCGATGGGATATAAGTCCGAACTATTAGCTGGCCACTGCATAACTGGAATTCCGACCTCCTGAAGACACCAGTTACAATTCTAGCGACGTGCGGTTTTGCGTTATCACGCATGAGTTAAAAATTGTCCCCAATATACCCAGCGTAAGTCATCACATGAGGTTGCAAAATGTCCGTAATGTAACTTTCATCATTACACGCACGATTGCGAAAGAAAACGATATGCCACCCCCTAAACATTGTAGAGCCTCCACCAAACCGGACTGTTTCTCATCATCATCATCATAAGAATGCCGCACTGAGCATAACATTCTCCTGGTCTTCGCATAATGTTACGACGTCCATCAGAGCCTACAAAGGTCATTCGGCTTTCATCACTGAAGTGCATTACTGCTCCACGCCTCCAGAGTAGTGCCACCGAGGAAGACGGAATTAAAGAGCTTCTGAAGGACTTCATGTACCGGTTTTCCACCCGCTTTCAGAAGCTTTGCTGTAATTTCATCCTCGCCCGGGGACTTGTCGTTTTTAAGGTGCTGGAAAGCCATTCTAATCTCGCTCAGACTTACGTCCGGGATATCATGGGAATAGTGTCAGATAAGACTTGCTCTTGGATCGTTATTCACACTTGCGTATGGCTTTAACGATGACGTGTACAGCTGCCTAAAAAACCTCTCAACCTCACTCAAAATGTTAGGTGTCCCGGAAACGATGCTTCCACACTCGGTTTTCAGCTGCGACAGTTGGCTCATTCTGGCAGACAGATCTCTGGCAAAGACTTTGGATCCCTGGTTCCGCTCCATCGCTTCTTCAAAACGAGCTGTAGCTGTAGTAGAGCGAAAGTTGCGTAAGTCCTGTCGCATGTATTTGGAGATCTGTCTGTTCAGTTGCCTGTTTGCTATCAAATCTGGAGCTTCATTTTCTTTGAAATTCCTTCCTTCCTTTTCCCTTTTAAATGAGCCTTTGATTCCATCGAAAGTTGACTGTCGGTATATCGAAGTACTTAAGTGTTTGTAAAGTAGGGCTACGATGACTATCCGAGTACAGAACCAACCTATCCAACTGCTGAACTGCTGCCAACTGCAGAAAGGTGTAACACAGGGTGACGTTACATCCCCGAAAATCTTCACCGCTGCATTGGAAGACGTTTTCAAGCTGCTGGACGGTATTAACATCAATATCGAGTATATCACCCGCTTTCGATATGCCGACGATATAGTCAGAATCTATGGCAGAATCGCTGAAGGACCTAGGCACCATGCTTAATGACCTTAATAGTGCCTCACAACGGATAAGTCTTAAGATCAACATGAATAAAACAAAGATCATGTGTAACATCCATGTCCAAAACCTATCCAACTGCAGAGAAGTGTAAGATGTTATATCCCCGAATTGGATTGTATTGGAAGATGTTTTCAAGCAACCGGACTGAAAAGGATACAGTATTAACATCAATGGCAAGTACATCACTCACCTTCGATTTGCGATGATATAGTCCTTACAGCAGACTCGGTGGAGGACCTAAGCACTATGCTCAATTACCTCAATAGTGCTTCCCAACGGATAGGTCTTAAGATGGAAATGAATAATGATCTTTGCCAGTAGTTGTTGTTGACGAGTATGTTTACCTGGGACAAATATCCAAAACAAAGCAATATGTCTAGGCTCCTTCATAGACATAGAAGGTGCTTTTGACAGAACAAATTTCTCCAGCATAAAAGGTGCCCTAAGTAGACATAATGTTGAACCGGCACGATAGTAAACATGCTCAGTACACGAACAATAAAGATTGCTGGTGAATCTCAGACAATTTATATCATGAAAGGATGCCCGCAGGGTGGGGTTCTTTCACCTCTCCTGTGGAATATGGTCATTAATGAACTAATCAGCAAATTAAACGCTAACCATTTCTACACAGTCGGTTATGCAGATGATCTTACAATACTGGTCTCTGGGAAGACAGCAAGCATTGTGTGCGACCTGACCCAAGCGGCTCTCCGTATTGTGGAGAGATGGTGCAGGGAATATGACCTAACCGTTAATCCAAATAAAACGGTTATAGTAATGTTCACACAAAAACGAATGCTGAATAACTATCATCTTCTAAGTCTTTTCAGCACAAAACTCCCAACTTTCTTCCGAAGTAAAATACCTAGGTCTTACCTTGGACAGTAAACTTAACTGAAACAAACACATAGAAAACAAAATCAGCAAAGCTAGTTTAACTTTCTGGCAATGCAGAAACATGATTGGCAAACGATGGGGTTTAACACCAAAAATTATACTGTGGCTGTACAAAACTGTAATTCGGCCCATGATCACATACGGCTCTCTGGTATGGTGGACCAAAACCAATGAAGCCACCACTATACAAAAGCTTCAGCGTTACCAGAGGTTAGCTTGTATGGCTGCCACGGGCTGCATAAGGACTACACCAACAGCAGCTTTGGAGGCTATGCTGGAGCTAACAACGCTTCATCTACATATACAAGCAAGCAACTTTAGCTGCCATTAGACTCAAGACCCTAAATCTTTTAAGTAAAAGTAGAGTCTCCCATACAGATATAATCAATAGAATTTACTCAAATATTCCTACCTTACAAGCCAAGTATGATAGGATCCCAAAACAATTTGTATTCGATAAGAAGTACAGGATACAATTGAAGGAAACTGACCATCTGGAAGGACTGGGTCCAAGAGAGCTCAAAGTTTTCACGGATGGCTCTAAAACAAATGAAGGTGTGGGTTCTGGGGCTTTCTCTGAAGACCTTAATATCCACATATGCACACCGCTGGGTACCCACAACACAGTATTCCAGGCTAAATGCATGGGTATCATCCAAGCGGCCATAGCAATAGATGCTAGGAAGGTGAAAGACTTCTCCATCAGAATACTGACCGACAGTATGGCGGTACTACAAGCACTGAGTTGCAATGTGACGAACTCGGGACTGATATACGAGTGCCATGAACGATTAAATGAGGTATGTAAGCACAACAATGTGACTCTGCAATGGATCAAGGGACACAGTGGATCTAGAGGCAACGATGCAGCATATGAACTGGCCAGAAGGGGATCGGCCCTAGCAACTATAGGGCCAGAACCAATAATACCAAACCCCTTTGGCTACATTCGTTCAGTGGTATGTAGATACTTCAATAATTTACACGCTCAGCTTTGGAAAATTTTTGTAGACTGTAGACAAGCTAGGGAGGCCCTACCTGAAATAAACAGTTGTCTAACCAAGGTTCTAATGAGACTGAACAAGCCACAGATCAGGATAGTAACAAGTGCTATCACAGGACAAGGCTCTTTTAACAAACATTTGTTCACCATAGCTTGGACATAGCCAAATTGTATGGTCCATTAAGGGTATTAGCAAATAACAAAAATTTTAAAATGAAATCAAATTTAAGCTATGTTTTCAAATACGTGATATTTGCCTAGTATTGCACATAAAGACTACAACAAGTGAAAAATGAAATTACTACATTAAACTAAGATTCCAAGAAGTTAAAGGGTAATAATAAGATAAGGTCATAGATGGAAAACAAGTTAATATAGTATATGTCTTTTCATTCCATGATCTGCCCATACAGTGAAGGGCCATGGTTTTAAAAACTATAATTTCACACCCATACAGTACAAAGTTGTTGTTTTTCAAGATTTCATCATATCTTGCAGTTCCCTAATTATTGTAACTCCCTCAATTGCCAAAACCCGTTAAAGACAACTGGTTTTTTTAATACATATAGAATGAAAAATGACCCAAAAGACATACAGATTGTGAGCAGTTAATCACTAAAAGTTAAAACATATTTTCAAGGCAAAAACTCCCTAATAGTTAATAAGAAGTAATAATTAAATTAAGCAAACTTATAGAAGTTGAAGTTACTTAATTCAAAACTGGAAAAATATAACTAAGAATTGACAATATTTACCACTTTCATTCTTTGAGCACTCTTGTATGCAACTGATGGTAAATTTATATTCTCCTTGTCTGATGTTTTTTCTGTAGTTTTCAGTAGCTTGGGAATTGATGAGATTCCTGGTAAAGGTTTTCTAGGTCTGACAACTTTAAGCAATGGGACTTGTGGAGAACTCTTAATATATGCAGCAACTGGACTTATTATGTGTTGATATGAATTTAATTTACTTGGTGTCATCTTAGTAGTTAAAAATTGTTTCTTTTGTGATATGTGACTTTTGGGTGTCTTAAATACTAGAGCTACTTGTTTTGTATCACCACAAAAAGGGGTAGTAATATTGTCAGTTTTAATTGGATTATCAATTGTTTTCATAGAAAATGTACCTAAACTGGGACCAGAATTACAATCACTTACTCCACCTTTTTTTTTTATTGGAGTAAAAAGTTCTGTGTTTAAAGAATATTTGACCTCTTCTAACTTTACCACATCTTTTATGGACACCGGTACATTAATAGGCTCGGTATCAATAACTTTAACTTCCAATGCAGTTTTTTCATTATCATTATCTTTTGAATCTTCAGTTTTATTGGGAGGTTTACATCCTTCTTCATGAATTGGATGATTATTTAATATATATTTAACAACTTCCAATGTATTATCTAATTTCTCTTTATCACTGTTAGGTAGTTTCTGAAGTTCTGAAACCATTTTTTCCATTTCCAAAAAACTATCATTGATTGAATTTATACTCCAACTTGAAAATCCATTTTCTTCACTTGATAAACTCGAATTGGGATCAGAAACGTTCAGAGAAACTCCTGGATTAGGATCAGGTTCAGAACGAGTTTTAATTATTTTCAAACTGCTGTCAACATGTCTTTCATCCTTATTTGTATTGTTATCTCTAATTGTATAAATAAGTAAAGAAAACATTACAACATTTTGAAAAATACTATTTAAAGGTATAACTTTATAGAATAAGATTATGTTTAATTAAAAAAAATAAATGTACTTACATTGCATTGTACCGATATCTACCCATCGTTACATGTTTTTTAATTTCCTTCAAGGAAAGATTTCCAAAAAATATTTCTTCATCGCTGAAACTATCATTAATATGCTTAGCCATAATTAATCCAAATAATACTCAACAACACGAAAAATTAATCTAACAAATTTTGTGATAATATTCTAAAATTTTCTCATTGTTGTGTTTTCAAACTTCAAACTTTTTTAAAAGTTTTCAAACTTCATCGATCAACAGTCAATCCATAGATTATTACCATAGATATTGTCGGCGCCATGGAGGTTAGAGAACAGGAGAAAGATCGCCGTAGAAAATAGTGTCGCAGAAATACGGACTCCATAAGTGAGACGCTGCGATCGCTAAGTTCGCTCAATAAAAGTCATTTTCAGTCTATTTTCCCGATTAGATGCTAAACCACTTGCATATCCACGCACAATAAAATATTTCTCTTTTTTATAATGTTTCTTTTTGTCTTTACTTACGTCTTTAATTACGGAGCATGAACATTTTCTCACCAATGCCGCGAAGAAAATTTGTAAATTATTCAACTCACTTCATATACTTTTACTCTTAAGGTGGCTCTAGTCGATAGCTTAAACTAAATGGTAGGCGGGGTTAAAAGTCTTCTTTTTTGAATGACAACATAAACTCAAACCGCGATTGAAAGCTCCGTGGCGCAGTGGCTTAGCAATGAGGCTGCGCTGGGGGCCGCGGTTCCAATCCCGCACGGAACAAATATTTGTATTGCCTACAAATAGTTGTTCCGGGTCTGGATGTTTGTCCTTGTGCAATTTATGTTTGTATAAACTGCCTCCACGATACAGGAGAAAATCCTACTGTTGGGGTAACGTATTTTAAAAAGAGAAAAGAAAGAGGAAACAAATTGGTTATTATTATGAACCTAATTTAGTTATAATTATTAAATTTCTTATGTGAATTTAAGTAGATGTTGTTATTATATAATAATTTCATTGATTTGTTTTTACCTACTTTTTAACCGACTTCGAAAAAAGGAGACTGTTCTCATTTCGTTGTTTTTTTGGTTATGTATGTTCTGTTCCCCGATTTCTCGAAGATGCCTGAACCGATTTGGAAAATTATTTTTTGGTTTGAAAGAATATATACTTTCCAGATGATCCCATAGTAATCGATGATGGTCAGATCAGGATCTGATGATGGGATCTTGGAGAAATCGAGGGAACTCTTCAATAAATGACAGCAAATCAACCGCGATTGCTGCTATCGCGTACCTATGTATTCCTTAGGCAACCACACAGTATAATATCACGCCTGTACTCACTAAAGGGACATAACTCTCAACAAAAAATAGTAACATTAAAAAAAGACGTGTGGCACTCGGGGACTGCCGCGGTAAAGCTATTGCATAGCATTTTGTATCAACTTATGCAATTATAATTATTAATATAAGGACTACGTAAATATTCAGTACAGCAAGATTGGAAGAAAAATGACGTCTAAATATTTTTTCGTATTTAGTAAACGAATAACTAGTTGGTAAATTAATCATGATATATATCTTTTTTTTCGCCGGAGACTAAAATGATATTGCTTTTTTTCGTAACTGCAGATTCTGTGGATTTATTTCATTATTTTGAACAATATACGAAATTTAAGTGACTAAAATTAAATCTAATCTGAACCAGAATCATAAAAACTGTATTATTCGTGCTAAACGAATCTAATAAATATCTGTAATTTTTGTCTCCTGCGAAAAAAATAGACTATAGGAATCTATCGAATACCTACATAAACAAAATATCACCTATAAATAAAATGTTACAAAGCGGAATAACTAATAAGAGTGGCAACGTCGCACTATACAAAGGAATTGCGTAGGTGGCACAAGTCGTGGGCTCGAACTCATTGGTGGGCGCGGCCAAAAAGCACGTTGTCTCACCTGACATCGTGCCACTCGTACTAAATTATTAGGCGCTGCGTTATCGCTTTATACTATACCTCTATGGCTCTATAGATACCTAATATAGATTGCTTATTTTATTATGTTTAGTTTTCCCCGGGTGGTCATGCAGCGATCACTCAAAAGTTCACGACGCCGAAGTATGAACTGGAACAGTCATCGCAGTTTATATCAGTACTAGCTGTTGCCAGCGGCTTCAAACGCGTGAACTCGAAAATTATCCCACAGGAACGAAATACCTGAATAAACGGTATCAAATGTGTTATTCCAGACTAGGTATAACCTATCTCTGAGCTAAATATCATCCAGATCCCTTCAGCTGTTCTGGCGTGATTGAGTAACATACACTATCCATCCAAACTTTCGCATTTATAATATTTAGATAATAATTGTAATTAGTTCTGCCTACCTATAAATTGTTTTCAAAAATACTTACCTGTCTTCTTACTTTTTTTATATACACACAATATCACTAGATGTAAACACATGTTTTTATCAAGACAAGTGACCCGTCAAGACTGTTTCCTTAGTACCTTAGTTTACATTTTAGTGTCCACGACGCAGCGACAGTTTGTCAAATTTTGTTGTATAGTATAACTCGTACGAATTAACTTGAGACCTGGGCCGATGACGTAATTGTCAATGTACGGTGTGCAATATAATGCGTCGTAATATTTTTTATTTGAAATTTTTGAGATTTGCATGAGATTATTAATAAAAAACAAAATAAAATGTTCTGGCAAGGGGTGAAGTAATAAGTGATATACTGTTGCCATTTTTATATATTTTAAATATTTATTTTTTATAATATATATAATATTATTTTTAGTTAACGCGTCAAGGAAGGACAAAGAAATAAACATACACACTTTCTCATTTATAATATTATTAATTTATTTATTATACACTTTATTGCACTATAAAAAGTGTTACAGATTTGTACACAATAAAAATACAAAGCATAACAGGCGACCTTATTGCTAAAAAGCAATCTCTCCCAGGCAACCTTAGGGTGAAAGTGAATCAATCTTGGATAAGCGGAACAGCACAAACTATGTAAAATCAAGGAATAAAAGTAAGGAATATTAATAAGGATTTATTATAATATTTATTATTCATTGTCACTGTATACGATCGGTTCTATTCCGTCCATTAGATCGTCCTCACTTTGACTCTCTGAGATGGATTCTTTCCCTCCGAGGGATATAATTAATTCTCTCTGTTGGATTTCTCCAAGTCTATCACTCTCCCAGTATTCATTTTCTAATCTTTCGATATGGTTAATTTCTTTCTTCCAATCGGAAGCCGTTATAGACTGCATTGCGTCTCTTGTCAAACCCTCTATTTCCCTTTCAAACTGGTTAACATTTTTAGCTGCCACCCTTTGTTTTATTAAGTTCCATATATATTCGATAGGGTTCAAATCACAATGGTAGGGTGGCAGCCGTAATACCTCGTGTCCATGCTCCCTGAGTTCGTCCACTATATATTTTTTCGGTGGTTTATTGAGCAGTATTATATGGTACAGTTCCGGTTTCGTCATTTTTTCATCAAAAGAAATGTTGTTTTTCCGAAGCCAACTCTGCATCTCACCTTTCAGGGAGCTCACGGGTGGTTTTTCAGACTGCGTTGAGTGGTAGGGACCATTGTCTATAACGACGAGACTGTTTTGAGGTAAGTTTGGGATTAGTTTTTCTGTCAACCACTTTTTAAAGTTTTTACTATCCATTTCGTGATGGTAGTACCCGGCATTACTTTTGCATTTGTAAAGCAATTCAGCACCAGTGATAAAGCCATTTTCACCGCCAGCGTGCACCAATATCCACCGCTGTCCTGGATTATCATTTTTTCTAATGCTTGCGTCATTGTTATTTTGCCAGCATTTGCGCACGGTATAGTGGGAGTGAATCCATGTTTCGTCTAAATAAGTTACGGGTTTTTTGTCCACCCCAAGTTCATTGTTTTCTTTCTTCCTTCGTAAATAACGGGCTCTCCAGGCAGCAATGTCTGGCTTTTGTAATAAGACTTGTCTTGCGTTTTTACATTTTTTAAATTTGTACCCCAAGTAGTCAACGAGTATTCGTTGTAACGTGGTTTTTTCACCTGTAAAATAATGATTTTATTTTTAATTTTTAGTTATCGCGTGGTATTTTTTCAAAAAATAATTTAAAATGAAATATCTCAGAAATGGTTCACTTTTGCATATGGGTGCTACATAAAATTGTTACAAATTACCAGTTCTAGCACCCCTAACAAGATTATGCTTGAATTAAATGTCACCTTGTATATGATATGACCTAAAGTATGATATATAATACATATAAAAAATGTCAATAAATATGGGTACGTACCTGGAAAATTTAGATCTGCTTTTGCAGCCGTTAAAATCTTTTTCAATGTTGGAATTTCTTTCCGTACTGTATAGAAACTGTTGACAAGGTTTCTTAGAGCACACAGATCAAAATTGTCGAGTTCAATTTTTTTGAGCTCTGTTTCCTTTTTTTCCTGGAGTTGATAGTTTAAGTTCTGGTCTTGCTTGAGAAGTACATGGTTCCGATACTACTGTGACATCATCATTTTGGTCTTGAGAAATTGACTGAACTTTTTTCGCCTCGTTTTTCATTCTTAGTAGTGTTGCCTTTGATATGCCTGTTGATGAACAAGCCCTCTTTAAAGTTTGGTCCACAGGAATAAGAAACTTTTTATTTGATTTTTCATCTTCGAAAAATTTTAAAACTTTTAAAGCAAGTGTCCGTGCTTGGCTATGTATTGTCTTTCCTTCCATCTTTTTTTAAAAATAAAAAAGGCGGAGTAACTCCTAAGCGTCACAAGAAAACGACGCAACTTAACGTGCAAACTTAACAATGAAACAACGCAATTAACAACAAACAAATAAAATAACGTTCAAGTATAACGAAAACAAACAAAAGTCCAAACCAAACAACAAACAATTATCAAAAATATCGAACTAGAGTCGAGACGCGTATCCGTAACAAAAATGCTATCGGTACTGAGCGCGCACGGCCAGCGCGGGACGCGGTGCGGGGAGTCGGGAAGGGGGTCGCATTCCAGCGGAGTCTCAAGTTAATTCGTACGTGTTGTAGGTTACGGGTATTTAGGTAATAACAGTAGGCAGGTACCTATCCACCGAACCGTCAACGCC